CCCGTGTGTCAGCGCAGTGCTGCTCGTGTCCTGGCGCTGGCGTTGGGCGGTGCTGTTGGTGTTGAGTTTGCCGGGCCTTGGGGGAGCCAGTGGTAGCAGAGGGGCCCACAAAGGGCATTGTGTGTCCTGGCCATAGCTGCAGGTTGCTGTCCAAAATTAACCTTGCCTAGAATCATAGGAATGTTCAGGGTGGAAAAGACGTTTAAAACTATCTAGCAATTAACCTTGTACTGCCAAGGCCACCACTAAACCATGTCCTGAAGTACCACACATCCTTTAAATACCTCCAAGCATGGTGACTCAGTCCCTTCCCTGGGCAGCCTGTTCCCATGGTCTAAACCTCCCTGATGCAACTTGAGGTCGTTTTCTCTTGTCCTGTTGTTCCTCGGGAGAAGACACCAACTCCCACTTGACTACAGCCTCCTTTCAGGTCGTTGCAGAGAGCAATAAGGTCTCCCCTTGGCCTCCTTTTCTCCAGGCTAAACACCCCTAGCTCCCTCAGTTGTTCCTCGTTAGGACTTGTGCTCTTGGACTTTCCCAGCTTCTTTACTCTTCTTTGGACATGCTTCAGCACCTCAGTGCCTGTGTCCTGAACACAGGATTCAAGGTGTGGCCTCACCAGCGTTCAGTGTTGTTCACTGCCCTGTTCCTACTGGCCACACTATTGCTGATACAGGCCAGGATGCCATTTGCCTTGACCATCTGGGCGCACTGCTGTCTCATTTTCAGCACATCACCAGTGAACACCCCCAAGTCCTTTCCCTCCGGGCAGCTTTCCAGCCACTCTGCCTCCAGCCTGTAGCACTGCATGGGGTTGTTGTGGCCAAAGTGCAGGACCTGGCACTTAGCCTTGTAGAACCTCATACAGCTGGCCTCATCCCATCAATGCAGCCTGTCCACATCCCTCTGCAGAGCCTTCCTACCCTCCAGCAGGCCAACACTCCCACTCAACTTGGTGCCATCCACAACTTGATGAGGGTGGACTCAATCCCCTCATCACTGATAATATTAAACAGGACTGGCCCCAATATTGAGCCCTGAGGAACACTGCTTATAACTGGCCGCCAGCTGGATGTAACTCCACTCACCATCACTGGGCTCAGCCATCCAGCCAGTTTTTAGCCAAGCAAAGATTGTACCTGTGTGTGCCATCCATGAGAAGCCAGTTTCCCCAGGAGAATGCTGTGGGGAAACAGTGTCAAAGGCATTACTAAAGTCCAGGCAGGCAACATGCACAGCCTTTCCCTCATCCAGTAAGTGGGTCACCCTGGTAAAGAAGGATATCAGGCTGGTCAGTCAGGACCTGCCTGTCAGAAGCCTGTGCTGGCTGAGCCTCAGCCCTTGGTTGTCCTGCATGTTCCATGTGATGGCAGTCAGGATGCTCTGCTCCAGGTTACATGTGGACATTAGGTTCTGCTATAGTGTCTTTAGATGCTAAACTGTGTAACTACATTTGAAGTGCTAGTGGGTATGATGATAGTTGCAGAGGTACAGATCCACGGAGCTAGCAAATGACCAACAAGCTGGTAAAATGACTTCAGGCTATTACAGGTAGAAAACAGCTTCCTTTACTGTATGTTTCAGTCCCTTTGTATAGATGGGCTGCTAAAGGGTTGGATTGGGTTGTCCTGCAGATTCAACTGAAAACCACCATTTTGTTTGTGGGACTAAGTCTCCCCATTGTGAAGCTGAGAGACCTACTACAGATTCATGCTGGATAACCAGTGGACAAAAGGGTGATAGATGGTTAGAGCAGGAATCTTCAGGTAGCTTGTAGGGAGCAGAACGACAGAGGGAAGATGCCGTGAGTTCACATGGCAACGCTATTAGAATAATTGAAAGCTTTTAAACCACAGTGGAGTATTTGTGTATGACTTAAAACTGCAGTATCCTTAAAGAAAGCTGTTGGCTACATGTATGTGGGCTC